ATTATGAAAGCCTAGAAACACAGAACACATTTATCTTATTCCCGTACAAACTAAAGTGTGTCTGTACCTAGAACAGAATGTGCAGTTGTGGTCACCGTAACACAAAAAAGGTAAAACAGAAGGTTTAGAACAATAACTAGAAAGGACAAAGGACATAGGGTCTTCTGAATAAAGCCAGATTTGTTTTGTTTTGTATTGTTTTGCTTTGCTTGTTTTGGGGGCTTCCTGTAGCTCCCAGATGGCCTGGAACTATATAAACCAGGTTAGTCCTCGAACTTTGAGATCTGCCTGCCTCTGCCTCTGCCTCTGCCTCCCAAGTGCTGGGATTAAAGGCATGTGCCACCATACCCGGCCTTATTTATATTCTTTTTAATTATGTATATGCATGTGGGAGTCTTATGTGCAGGTGAGTGTAGGTACCCACAGAGGCCAGAGTCATTGGATCCACTGGATTTGGAGTTACAGGTAGTTGCAAGCTGCCCCACATGAATGCTGGCAATCAAACTCAGGTCCTCAGGTCCTCTGCAAGAGCAGTACATGCTTCTAACCTCTGAGCCTTTTCTCCAGACCTCTTTTGTTTTGTTTTGTTTTGTTTTGTTTTGTTTGTTTTATTGAGACAGAGTCTCACTCTTATAGCACTGGCTGACTTCACACTCAGAGCAATCCTCCCTCAACCTCCGTAAGGACTGTAGGTACATGCCACTGTGTCCAGTGTGGCCTTCACCTAGGTCTGAGAGTTTCTGAACCTCTAGGAGTCTGAGGCACAAGGATTCAGTGATATATATATTTTTTTTTTTTTCAAAGCCATGTCCAAGGAGGCTGTACCCAGAACTAAATGGAGCCATTGTAGTTTGGGGGGTGTGTGTGTGTGTGTGTGTGTGTGTGTGTGTGTGTGTGTGTGTGAGATGTATGTGAGTGTGGGCATTATACATGCAGGTTGCAGGGCAACTTACAAAATTAGGGTTTTCTCCACTGTGTGGGTTCCAAAGATCGAACTTGGGTGATAAAGCTTGGCAGCAAGTGCTTTAACCTACTCACTGACCCATTTTTCCCTGTGCAGAGGAATTTGATTTAACTAGGTGTCACTCTAGAATGGGGTCTGGGCCATTCTTGCCTCCCTGCCAGAGTGAGCCAAGTCTGGCTCAGTTCCGTACCCAGTCATATTTCCTGCCTTATAACCACTCTGGGCCCCCATCTCCTCATCCTCAAAACCAGGAAGATTGTAGAGACAACGGATCTGGCATAGCATGGATGACATGCTTCCTGTCACAGGACATTAGGACTCCCAGTGGGCAAAGCGTGCGCAGCAGTAGGAGCAGGGGGGCATGTAGACCCTTTGATGAGCTGCACAAGAATCCCCCCACTGTCTACAGCAGCACCCCCTCCAACACCACTATATGCAGAACCCTGTGTCTGTAAGGAAGGAAAGGGCCCTGGTCTTGTAGCCGACCCCCTCCTATGATCTGTCGGCGTGGGTGGGTGGCAGCACCCGCCTGCCTGCTCAGGAAGCAAGTGGTCTTTCTGCATCGGGGTGCCTGTCTCCAAGGGCAACGGATGAGCGAAGAATAGTGTTCTTTATGGTGGAGCCTCTGGATGGTTCATCTCAGTGGTGGGGGCCAGGAAACCCAGGCACACAGTACTGCCCTTCAGCAGGGGCCTGGGATGTAGAGGTGGCCTCTACCCAAAACCTATGCCAGGCCAGGTGTGCACGGCCATGGGTACAGGCTCTAGGAAAGAGAGCAGGATGGACCTGTCACAAAGCCCTGAGCTGCCCTCCCAGAGGACCATCAGAGTGAACCCTGAGGTGGCCACCAACTGAATCAGGTCTGCTTTGTGCCCCAGAATATCCACCAGGCTGAGCCCTGAAAGTCTTTGTTTTTTCCCTCTCCTTAGAAATCAACGACCGGGAACAGAAGTTACATGCGCTTAAGGAGGTGTTAAAGAAATTCCCAAAGGAAAACCACGAAGTCTTCAAATATGTCATCTCTCACCTCAACAAGTAGGTTGCAGTATTTCTGGTTGGTTTTCCTCTGAAAAGCAGGCATCTGGGGTTGGTTAACCAAGGAAGGAGAGTCCAGCAAAGCCAGCCCTCTGCCTGCAGTGTCAGGGCACACAACTCTCCTGGCTCTTGATACAGCCTCATTTTCCTTCCTGGCTGTGTCTGGGATGGACCTAGATGTGCCCTTGGCCCCAAGCCAACAGGGGGGACGTTCTCTGGTGGGCGCTGCTGCCTCCAGAAAGAAGCAAACTCCTAGGAGCCTCTCACAGCCCACCAGCAGGGGTGCCAAGGGACAGAGAGGCCTCGGTCATGTGAGCAATGCACTTAAACCATTTCCAGCTTTACTTCTGACCAGTGGGCTTGGTGGCAAGCAAGTAGCTTTTGGAGCTCCAGCTTGGGATGCACAGGCACTGCCTCTCTGCCCATCCCTAGCCCATCAGCACTGTGGTTGCCTGGTCTATCTCCCCACCAGGGGCTTGTAGGGCCTCTGTGTACCTCAGTCTCTGGACCTAGAGGCTCTGCAGAGCTGGCAGGCAGGGAGGACAACCCCGGGGACCCAGGGCAGCTCTGACCTGACTTTGGTGTCACCTGCAGAGTCAGCCACAACAACAAGGTGAACCTCATGACCAGCGAGAACCTGTCCATCTGCTTCTGGCCCACCCTCATGCGGCCTGACTTTAGCAGTATGGATGCACTCACAGCCACACGCTCCTACCAGACCATCATCGAGCTCTTCATCCAGCAGTGTCCCTTCTTCTTCTACAACCGGCCCATCAGCGAGCCTCCAGGCGCTGCACCTGGCTCCCCCTCAGCTGGGGCTCCCACTGTCCCCTTCCTCACCTCCACACCTGCCACCAGTCAACCATCACCTCCCCACTCACCTCCCCCCACGCCCCAATCCCCAATGCAGCCATTGCTCCCCTCCCAGCTCCAAGCTGAACACACGCTGTGAGCCACTGCAGCTCAGGTGGCGGGAGAACCAGTCTTCTTTTTCACGGGGTGGCATTTGGCCTTGAACAAAACCAGGTTCCCTGGGGTAGAGGCCGAAGCTGAGCACCCTGCTCCTCCATCGCCTTCTCCAGACCTCAGTGGTGGTACTAGCCTGTGTCTAGCACAGGCTGCACAGTCGGGCACCCTGAAGTCAGCCCTGCCCTTGGCCCTGGATCACTTTGAGGATTGAATTAGTCAGGCAGCAGCTCCAGCAGCCCTCCCCTGCTCCCTGAACCCCTTACCTACCTGCCTGCGTACACCAGCGTCAGGGCCCTACCCCTGAGTGTACAGAGCCCACCGTCAGGACAGCACCCCAGCCTCTGCCAGGGGCAGAGGTTGCACCCTAGCAGGGCTGGCCCCCTGATGAGGACGCTTCCCACATACTTGGTCCTCTCTCATCTTCCATACCTGCACACACACACCTGCCAGTGGGGTCCTTGGAAACACATGGGCCATGGCTCTGCCACCCCAAGGTACATGCTGGGGTGCTAGCCTGGCCCAACCACAGCAGGAGAAGAGCTTTGTGGTTTCCCTACTTCAACCCCTCCCAGGCATCTGACCTATTCCCTACAGCAAAGGAACACTGGAAGAAAGATGGAACCCTCCATGGAGAAACAGAGGCAAAAAGCACCAGAAAAACAGACCACAGGACCACTCCCATCTGCCAGGCCACAGGGTAAAAGGACCCTTGTCTGTGTGACAGCAAAGCAAGGACGCCTGGACAATGACCTCGAGCCCACTGGGCCCCGTAGGTCCTGTCAGCAGCTCTCTCATCCCTGAGAGAAAGGTTAGAGCCTTGGAGGAATTATAGCACCCCACTCTGTGGAGAAACACTATGTATACACACAGCAGCCAGAGTAGTATGGTTGGTTGACGTGGGGTCATTTCATCTCAGGCTGTGGGTGCTACCAGCAAAGGTGTTGGTGGGATATGGGCAGGTGTGGGCACGTTTCAGAAATGAGTATCTGGTCACATGCAGGATTCTGTGGTCCTGAGGCCAGCAGGGCCTAGAAGAGCTCAAGGCACAGAGAGTCACGAGCCTAGTCATCACCACCCCACCCTGACCTAGCCCTGCTTCTCTTTCACTCACCCCAGAGGCCTCCCGACACCCCTCTGCCCCCCACTTTTTATCCTTGCACTGGGCCACTAAACCTGACACTAAGGTACCCTGGGCATAAGAGGGGCCTGGGCCCCACAGCACTGTCCTTGGTCTCGAAGTTGCACTTTAGAAATAGCATGTGGGTGTATTCCCAGGGCCTGAGGCTGACTGCCACCCACCTTCACCAGGCAGGGCCAGAGGAGGGCGGCCCCTGGCCAGGGCCCTGCCCCTGATAGCTGGCTATCCCCTTCCAGTTCTTCATGGCACAGTAAGGTGCTTGGAAACACTAAGTTACCCTGCGAGTTTAATTGCCTCTTGAGAACATAGAACCACACCCAAGGTACAGACCTGTTCCGTGTACATGTTTTCCCCCATGGTGGGTCTTTGTCATGTGCTGTGGACCTGGGTCAGCAAGAACTTAAATGCATGTGGTATCCACTGAGGTCACAGACAGTCCTCTGCCCTGAGCCCGAGGCTGAGGAAATGGCTTCCCTTCATTTGCTTCTCTTTTGGGTCTTGCTTCCTCAGCTCTTAAAGGAGTTAGAGGTAGATGGAGACTGGGCAGGGGGACTTGGGGCCATCTTGCTGTGAACAGGAGGACAAAGGGAGTTGTGACCCAAGCTGTTGGCAGCACAGGCCACCTATCCCTGAGGTCACTGCATGCACCTACTGTGTACTGTCTGTGGTTTGTGGAGAACTGGGAGAGGACAGTGCAGTGTTGGGGAGCCCTGTTTGAACCCTTGCCTTATAGACACCAGCTTGGGGCACCTCCTGCCTGCAGCTCCCTACAAGAGCAGGTACCAGGAGCTGCTGACCTAGCTCTGCTTCCCCAGTCACTCTTAAGTAGCCTTGCCTTTGTGGCAGCAAAGTGATTTTGGGGGCCCACAGAGGAGAGAGTACCCAGGGTTTGGGTGGGATGCCCTGACCTTGCTCAGGATGCCACCCTCTCCTTTTCCATTGGGTTCAAAGCTCCAGGAAGCACTGTCACAGGCCTCTGAGGGCTGCACTGCTGAGAATGGGCAGGCAGGTTAGCTGTTACCCTGCCCAGAAAGCAGCCCTGGAAGTGGCCTCAGCCTGGTGCCTCCCAGCAACACGTGTGACCCCTCGCCAGCAGCCCAAGCAGAGTTTTGTGCTGCATGTTGGGTGGCACATGATCCTGCACTGTCACACCCTTCTCATCTCTGGACAATTTTAGAAGGGACATGGAGAGTTCTGGCACTCTGTGTCTGCTCCACACCTCCTGCATTTTCCCCAGCTGGGGCAGGTGGCAGCCTAGCAGAGGCCCTTGCCCTCACTTCTGTTTATTTTTGCCACTGAAGAGGTTGACATCATAGGAGCAGTTTGCAGGCAGGGGTGGGGGTCAGTCCTCCTGTGGCTTGTGCCTTGGCCCCTGCTCTAAGGTGAGGGAGCCCTGAAGGCCTGCATCCCTTAGTGAGGGCTCCCACAGGGTACCTATGTTCTTCCTGAAAACCCCCAAGACTTGACAGCAGACCAGCTGCAGCTCTTGACCCTCCCCGCAGTCATCTAGAGATGGTATACCAGTCAGGGTGCTGCGCTCCGCATCTGCCTGTATGCTGAGTCCAGGACTGCCCAGCCAGGGGCAGCATGGGGAGGCCCCAGGAGACCCCTCACCTGCCACCCCAGCCACAAAGCCCCCCCCGTGTAGTGGAGCCAGGGCATAAGTTATTGTTTGCATTACAGAATCATGTTCCCTGTGTACATTTTAAACAAAGGCAATGTCTCGGGGTTGTATGGGAATAAAACTTGTTTGAAAATTTGGAATAGTGCTGCTGCCGGCTTATTTTTCTGGTACTTGTATTTTCACATGTTAAATCATCTTTATATATGTTGAATTAACAAATATTTTGTTTCCTGAGAACAAAACATATTAATGGTATTGAAATGTGTTAGTAGTCAGGCCGTGTGCCCAAAATTCTGTTTCGCAGCAAAAGTGGAGCACTGTCTGTGAGTAGAACAATGATTTCCTGTATCGTAGGGGTTCGGGCCAGAGCCTCTCTAGTTGGTGTTAGGAATGTTTGCTTCATTTCCAGGCTTTTTGAACACGTCATGGGTTTCCGAGGCTCCAGCCTATTTAGTGCATGGGCAGCCATCCCGGCAGCCGAGGCATCTCTGACCGAGGTGTTTTCCTTTGGTTTTGTTTTTTAAAATCGTGTATTTGCTACAAAGTATTGTACTTGTCTCAATGGGAATGGTGTAAAAAACAAAAACAAAAAAAAAAAAAAAAAAACTGAAAAGGCCTTATGTGATATGTATCATAGTTAATAAATCAATCTTGTTTTAAAAAAAAAGAAAAGAGGCCTGAGAGAAATAAAGGGGCTGCGGTCTCCAGAGCAGCCTGGGGACCAAGTACGGACAGCCTGTCAGGATGCTGCTGGACCTTGCCCCCACTCCCCTCCAGTCCAGCACAGTGGCCCACGGTGTGACTTCCAGGTCCCTGTCCACCCAAGCCTTCCGCCGACCCCACAAGCCTTGGCCCTACTGCAGGCCACCCAGCCATCCACTGCCCTGTGAGCACTGAGCTGGGAGCACAGTGGCAGAGTCTAGGAACATGGGCCCCAAAACCAGCCTCCTGCACACATTCCAGCAGGTGGAATGCAGGCCTCCATGGACCCCTCACCAGCAGCCAGGATGGTGCTCCCAGGAAGGACAGCTCAATGCCTTCAGAAGTAACCTCACTACTAGTAACAAAGTGCCTCCACCCACCCCAGGAAATTTTGTTGAAAGAGTATCTCTCTGAGTATGGTGGCACACACCTGTCAACCCTGGTACTGGGGAGGCTGAGGCAGGAGGAGTTCAAGTCCCACTTGGGCCATATAGCGAGAACCTGTTTAACATTTTGTGTGTGAGTTTGTGTGATTGTAGGGTGTGCACCTGTTATGTCACCCATGTAAAAGTCAGAAGACAACCTGCAGGAGTCAGGTCTCCTTCCATCATGTGTGGGTCTTAGGGATCGAACTCCAGGTCCTCAGGCTTGGTTGCAAGCACCTTTATCCACTGAACCATCTTGCCTGCCCAGACCAACCTCTGTTCCCTCTGCCTCCGTTCTAGCACTGTAGAATGCCCTAAATCAAGCTCACTCTACTTATAGACACGCACACACACACACACCTTACCTGGGCTTCCTTATCTTGACCTTCTTCCTTACCTATGACTTGGGAACATCATACAAGATAGTATTTCTCATGCTGTAACTGTAGCAGACATGGCTAGTTGATCATGGCACCACCAGATTGATGAGGAGAGACACTTCTCCAGGCAGCCTCTGCCAATCAGTTGCTGATGCTGTGCTTGTTAACTACATACCTGTAGGCTGCCCATTCACTCAACAGACATAGGTGTCTATTTCATGAGCCAGGACTTGGGTTGTTTCTGGAGGGGTGACTGTTTTATCTGAGTTTGTTCGAACAGGGTCTTGCTATGTGAATCAGGCCGGCCTCAGATTTGTAACAACCCACAGTGGACTGGACCTTCCCACATCACTCAACAGTCAAGAAAATACCCTACAGATATGGCCATAGGCCAGTCCAATGGAGGAAATTCCTCAATTGAGGGTCTCTCTACCCAGGTGTGTCACATTGACAGCTGAAGCCATCCAGCACACCCACTTAATGCAGAAATCTTGAGCATGTGCTCCAGGGAACAAACATGTCCTACAATGGAAGAAGCACGCAAACCTGCCTTCATGTCAGGCAGGACTTCAGGCTGGGGTGCAATCAAGATAAAATTGCTTTTGGGATGCTTTGCGGGGTGGTACACCCCTTTAACCCCAGGACTCGAGAGGCAGAACCAGACATATCTCTGAGTCTGAGGCCACCCTGGTCTACACAGTGAGTTCTAGGCCATCCAGAGCTGGCCTACATAGTGAGACCCTATCTCAAAACACTTGGCTGGCATGTGGCTCTGTTGGTAGAGCACTGGCCTAGGAGCAGGAAGCTCTGGGTTCCAGCCCTAGCACCATCTAAAACCAGTGCCTCAACTCAGGAGGGCGAAGGCAGAGTATCAGGAGTATCAGGTCATGCAGCTGGAGAGATGGCTCAGCAGTTAAGAGCACTGACTGTTCTGGCTGGGTGTGGTGGCACACTCCTTTAATCTCAGCACTCGGGAGACAGAGGCAGGCGGATCTCTGTGCGTTTGAGGCCAGCCTGGTCTACATAGCGAGTTCCAGGTCAGCTGGGGCTACAGGGAAACCCTGTCTCAAAAAGACCAAAAAAAAAAAAGCACTGACTGTTCTCTCAGAGGATCCAGATTTGAATCCCAGGCACTCATGACTCCAGTTCCAGGGGATCCAACGCCCTCTTCCGTCCTCTGAGGGCACTGCACAACACACATGCAAGCATACACGATGGATGGATGGATGGATGGATGGATGGATGGATGGATGGATGGATAAGTTGAAAGTCATCCTGGATTACCTAGAAATTGTTTCAAATCAAAGTGTCTGTGAACCTATAGGAATTATCTTTTCCTGACCTAGAATTCACAAAGATCCACCTGCATCTATAGGAATTATCTTTTAAAAAAAATAATAGTGCTAGAGAGGTGCTCAACAGCACATACTGCTCTTTCAAAGGACCAGAGGTTGGCTCCCATATAGGGCAGCTTACTACTACATGTAACTCCAGCTTCAGGGAATCCAACACCCTCTTCTGGCCTCTGCAGGCATCTGCACTCACATGCACATAACCACACAGGACATACACACATAAACATACACATAATTTTAAAGTATTTTATCATTTTGAGACAGGGTCTCTCCGTAGCCCCAACTGTCCTGGAACTCACTATGTAGACCAGGCTGGCCTCAAACTCAGAGATTCATGCACCTCCCAAATGCTGGGATTAAAGGTATGTGCCACCATGCCTGGCTCAAAAATAAAATAAATCTTTAAAAAAAAAAAAAAAAAAAAAAAAAAAAGCCGAGCCTGGTGGTGCAGTTATCCCAGCTACTCAGTAGGCTGAGGCAGGAGAATTGCCTGTTCAGGCATGCCTGGATGTTGCAAAAGTTCCTTGGTATGGTATGGAATGTAAACAATATCCACTCCTTCCTCCTGATCCCAACCACAAACCAAGGTATGATTCCACCAAAATGCAGTCTGGGAAAGCAGTGAGCTTAGTGGTCTTACAGAGCAATGGTTGAGGGTTTACTCATAGGAATGTGTTTGCTCTCCCTTAGTCTTCCCCCAGCCTGATACTCCCAACCTGATACTCAACTCACTCTCCCAGGCTGCCACTAATTAAGGCCAAATTTCCCATCACCCATTGGGAGATGTGTATGGCTCAGGAGAGAGATCTGAGACTCTCCCTGCCCCTCAGCAGTCAACAAGCACAGCTGTGATGATCTTAAGCCAGGCATCTGATTATCTGAAGGCAGTCCTGTACACCGTTGGGTTACAAAATAGCTGCAAGGCCATCTTCAGCAACTTAGCAAGACCTCTCACAATAAAAAGTAAAAGTGAAAGGAGAGGCTGGGGTGTGGTTCAGTGGTAGAAGTCCTGCCTAGGATCCCCAGTGAGGGGTTGTCCGGAAGGGTGGCTCAGTGGTAGAGCCCCTGCCTGGAATCCCCTAGTGAGGGGCTGGGGTGTGGTTCAATGGTAGAAGCCCTGCCTAGGATCCCCCAGGAAGAGGCTGGGAGTGTGGCTCGCTCAGAATGCATGAGGCAGAAAGTCATGCGTTTAATCCTCAGAACAGCAAATAAGTGCCAAAATAATCCATGGGGAACAACAAAATTTTCACCAAGCGGAATATGAAGACACGTGCTTGTAATAGCAGTCAGGCTGAGGCAGAAGGATCAGGAATTTAAAAAACAGCCTGAGCTACAGAATGACATCCTATCTCAGAAAAATAAAAAAATAGAGGCTGGGGAGATGGCTCAGCGATTGAAGCGCACTGGCTGCTCTTGCAGAGGACCCAGGTTAGGTTCCCAGCGCCCACATGGCGGCCTCTAACTGTACATAACTCGTTCCAGGGGCTCTGACGCCCTCTTCTGGCCTCTGCAGCTTTGCACACATGTGATGTGCTTCCATACGTACAAGAAAAACTCATACCCACAAAATTCTTAAAAATGAAAAAAAAAAATAGGATCACTAAAGACACCAGTAACTGGAGGGAGGTAGCTAAGAGAGGGAGAGGTGGGGAGTGAATCATTCATTCGGGGGCTTAGCTGAGAGGCCACTGCTTTAGCTCCACTGCTGGGCGTGGAGAGGAGAGGTGGGTTCTCCGCTTTTGACGGTCAAAGAGACACTCTGTTGAAGATCATGCACCTGTGCGAACCGGTACCCGGAACTCCAGGGTTGGCATCAGTCCGAGGCCAGCTGCCAGCGGAGAATGAGCGGCGCTGTTCCCTGCGGCCACCAGGGGTCAGCAGAGCACCGTGCTGCCCGCCCTTATGGGGCATACCAGAAGCCAGGGTGGTAGGGGCTTAACCTGAAGAAAACAAGATCAGACCTGGGGACTGGGGGACCTCGAGGAGGAAGGTTCTGAAAAATGGCCCTGGAATCGAAGTGTCCCAGGTGGGGGCCAACGAGTTGGGGACAGGCTATTCCTTGTCCATTCCCTCAGTTGGTCCATGTATCCATCCACCCACCTGCACATCTATTTATTCTCTTTCAGTTAGAGGTCAGAGGTCAGGCCACGAAGAGCCTCACAGACTAAGAAAATAAATTTAAACTGGATGTCGGGGGTGTTAGGCAGCTGTAATCTCGGCACTGGGGAGGCTGAGACAGGAGGATCATGGGTTTGAGGCCAGTTTGGGCTATATAGCAACTTTGAGGCCAGCCTAAGTAACATGAACCCGGGTCTCAAAAACTAGCAATGAAGGAGCTCAGTAGGCTAGCTCAGCAGATGAAGGAGCTTGCTACAAAGCCTGGCAAGCTGACTTTGATCCCAGAACCCACGTGGTAGACGGAGAGAATTGATTTCCCCTAGTTGTCCTCTGACCTCCACACACATATACATATAAGTACAAATTTAAAAAATAGAGCCGGGTGTGGTAGCGCACACCTTTAATCCCAGCACTTGGGAGGCAGAGGCAAGTGGATCTCTGTGAGTTTGAGGCCAGCCTGATCTACATGGAGAGTTCCAGGCCAGCTGGGGTTTATAGGGAGACCCTGCCTGAAAGAGACCAAAAAAAAAAAAATTGGGGGCTGGAGAGATGGCTCCGTGATTAAGAACACTGACTGTTCTTTCAGAACACCCGGGTTCGAATCCC